AAAAATATAAATAGCGCCTCTTGAAGATTTTTCTGTGTTTGATATCCAGGTCTGTAGATGATTTCTTTCAGTCTATTTACAACAAGTGCTTTAAGACTATTTTTATTAGGACATGCCTGTGTAGCCAAAATTTAACTCATTCCAATTTTGTCAAAAGTGTCCTTAATACAGGTGCCCCAGTATGGGCTATCGTACTGGGGCATCAGTCAGGTCAAGCGTACTCTCGCACGAAACGAGTTTACTTGTTGTTACTATGGCTGACGCTACTTTTTGTTACTATGGCTGGCACTCGGCAGTAAAAACAGGAAACAAGGTTTTGTCGGGTTGGATCAGAGTCATTTACCCGTTATGTTAAAACTATGGTGTCTCAGTACCCTAGCAGTGTAAAACTGGACATCAACCAGGATAACCGTACGCACGCGCACGCACGCACACACACACAAGACGATGGCACTTATTGTTACCCAGGTTTGTGCTAAATCACGGACTTTTCAGATTGGATCGGATGTATGGTGTCCCAGTGTGCAAGAAGTATGAAACCGTCATCAGTCAGGACTAGCGCGAACGCACGCATGCACACACAAAGTTCAACAAGTTTGATGTTAAACCCAATTTCACCTCACCTACGTCCAATGAAAGTCTAAAATATATATATACCTGTTCAGACCTACTCCACAAACTCGCTGTTCATGAACACTGACAGTGAACAGTCGTAGCACTTAGATCACTATGTAAAGTCGGTTTCTCAATGCATGTTAATGCTTTAACCTATTTTGCGTTGAAAGAGCTGAGTGGTGGTATTCTCACTAGGAAGTATTTATTTTTGTCGAAACTGACATCTTTGTCACAAACCTGTAGTAACGTTCCATTAGCCTCACTCAATGCCTTTATTGCCATGACAACAAAGGGGATGACGGGAATGGCTGTCAGGAACCAACCAATGGTAGTGGCATAATCCGGGTACTTGTACTTCCCATAGGTCGGCGGCTTATACATCGTGAGGATGAATATGAAGGCTGTCTACGAAGAGAGCATAAATGTATGTAGAATTCTGAGTAAATATTTCAGATGTCATCAACAAGAAAGTCAAGCGTTTCTCGAGAGATCGTTTTTTTCTTCAGAAAACCTCAAACCGAGTCTGATGTCATATCGTGCAGAATGTATCGAATACTCGCCAGCAGTCAGTGCTGGACTTAAGATGTCGACAAAATATACACAGACTTCTTATTTATAATGATTAATTTATTATTCCAAATTATTTGATTAAATATATCTTCATCAATGTTAACAGTTTCTCTCCAATCCTTTAACATACATCTATAAAATGATGATACAGCAATATGCAATTTTCTTAGGTCATAATTACATTTTATATATTTAGAAGCACTCATGTTAGATTTTACAATTATAATTGGTAAATATTTGAGTTTTTAAATTTGGATTTAAAATACTCTATATAAAAGTCTCACTAAACCAATATCAAAGTTTCTATGAAGCTTTTCATTATAGACTTGTAATATGCTCTGGAATTATATATAGGTAAAGTTTGTGTATGTTGAAGCACTCATGATAGATTTACAATAGAAAATCTAATTGGTAAAAGTTTAAGGCTATAAACCAGTAGTCCCTGACCACGTGGACTTGTATGGTTTATGTAAAACCGTGGTTACCGAGGCTGAATAAAAAAAACATAAACAAAAAACCATTTGAAACATATACACAATATTTATAAAAAAAGAAATAAAAAAAAAAGTTGTCGACAAAATGGGGACCCGGTGGTTATTGTGACCTGGCTCGCGGTGTGTCATCACACGACGACGGCGACAATGATACCCGTACTGTTCACCGTTGTCTGTGATGTAGTTGGTACACAGGTACCTGACCTACACTATCTAAAAGATAAACTTTATAGTCCCGCAAGGGAAATTTGTTTTGCATTCAAAGAGCCAATACAAGCATATAACAACAAATAATTTAAAGTATATATACACAATGCCAAGCTAATCAGATTATAATGTTGAATTATAACATTATCAAAGTTCATGATATAACATTTCACTATTACAATTTTGAAGGAAGATTTAGAAGTTTTATGCTGTATGGGACAAATGATTTTGAAGTTATATTGGTTTTGTAATACATGATTTTGAAACGGCGGCCAGAAGGCAGAAGTTTATAACATTCATTTAAAAAGCGTGATGGATCCAATTGAATGGCCAGAGCTTTCTTCTTAACTTTTGACTCATATTGCAAAGGTAGAGGTTCGAAATTGAAGCCGCAAATTTTGCTTGATATGTTTACAATTTTGTCAAGTTTGTTTTTCTGTGTAAGAGGAAGATTGCCATACCAGGCATGAAAGCAGAAAGTTAAAATACTAGTTATGAATGTTTTGGTAGAATAATTTTAAGATATTAGTGTCTACATTAAATGATCGCAATATTCGCAGAAAGAAGAGCTTCTGTTGTGCTTTCCTATGTACACGATGTGAATTTGATTTCCATGAAAGTTTATTATCAATGATAGTACCCAGATATTTATACTCTTTTACTGTTTCTACTTCCTGTCCATCAATACAAACAGGTTTCAGTTTGTTTTTTCCGCTTCGGAAGTCAATTATCATTTCCTTTGGGTTTTTTTATGTTCAGGGAGAGGAAATTGTTTTTGCACTGATGACGTAAATGCATCAATATTTTTCCTATACTCTAACCCTGATTGACGAATAAACCCAACCAAAGCGGCATCATCAGCAAATTTGAAATTCAAACAGGTGGATAAATGAGATATACAGTCATTTGTATAGAGTGTTAAGAGGACAGGGGACAGGACACAGCCTTGAGGAGCACCGGTACTCACAAGATGAACGTCAGAAAGTGTTGAATTGACCCGAACACGTTGAGGTCGGTTAGTTAAGAAGGCCTCTACCCAATTGATTATGTTACTATTTACTTTCATGTTGACTAATTTCCTTATCATCAAATGTGGCTGGATTGTGTTGAAAGCAGAGGAGAAGTCCGCAAAGAGGATTCTTACATAAGAGTTTGAATTCTCTAGATGAGTATAGATCTTATGTAACAGCAGGGAGACTATATAACGGTTGTAGATTATCCCTGGTAACAGTGAAATGAGTGCATCTTCCACCCCGCTCCTGGCCCTGTAAGCAAATTGTAAAGGGTCCATTTGATGTCCAGTATTTTGCTTAATTAAGTTCAAGATAATTCTCTCAAAGCATTTCATGATTATTGGAGTAAGAGCCACTGGGCGGTAGTCATTAATTATCGAAGGTTTTGACTTTTTGGGAACGGGGATTATATGCGAGGTTTTCCATATTGTTGGTATATAATGGGCGTCGACAGACATCTGAAACATCACTCTGTATATCCCGCACAACGGTTCACAACATTCTTGTAGTGCAATGCCAGGTATTCCGTCGGGGCCGATTGATTTCCGAATATTAATCTTCCTAAATGTTAGCATCACATCAAGGTCGGTGATTACTAAATTATCATCTTCTGGTAGGCTTTGAATGAAGGCATTTCTTGTCTGAGAGAAGTTATGTACATCAAATCTTGAGTAGAACTGATTGAGATCTCTCGCAAATAAGACATGTTTTGAGTGTTCAGGACTTTACATTTACTGTCGTTGCCAATCATGGTTTTAATTCCATTCCACGCTGCTTTCAAGTTATTACTTTGAAATTCCTTTTCTATTTTCTTTTGGTAATCAAGTTTACATTTTTTAGTCACACGTTTGATATCTCGTTGTATTTCTTTCACTCGAGTTCTGTCTCTTGCGCAGAAAACACGCTTCTTGTCATTGAGAAGTCCTTTCAATTCAATGCTAATCCAAGGTTTGTTGTTAGGGAAAGGTTTTATGGTTTTTGAAGGAATAATATCATCGATACAGAACTTGATATAATCTGTTACAACGTCGTTCAGCTCATCCAGATCAGTCGATGATTCGCGGAAGTTATCCCACACTGTACAGTCAAAGCAACCTTTCAGTTGATTAATAGATTCTTTTGTCCAGATTTAAACAGATTTTACTGTTGGTTTTTGTGATTTGATAGTTTGTCTATACTGGGGAACGAGATAAACAACGTTATGATCTGACTGACCAAGTAGCGGCTTCACATACGATTTAAAGGCCTCTTTTATGTTATCGTAGCACAGATCTAAGGTTTTTATTTTTCCGCGTCTCACAAGTGACATATTGGTGATAATGAGGCAGTACTTTATTTAACACACAGCCGTTGAAGTCCCCAAGAATCAGTTTTGGTGCAACAGGTGAAAGGGCATCGAGCTTACTGATGTGAGCAGACAGTATTTCCGCCGCTCTGTTTGTATTTGCCTTCGGATGGATATAGACAGTCGATATAAATATCTGACCAAAATCTCTTGGCAAATACTTGGGTCTCACCGATATGGATAAGAGTTCTATATCCTCCGTGCACGCAGTATCTCTTACAACATAATTACTGCACCATCTTTCATTGATATATATGCACACTCCGCCTCCGACAAAGCACTATTGTAGGTAGAGGAGGGCGAGTTTTCCTTACTCGTACACGTTGTGTAACCTCCCCCCCCCCCTTTTTTTTTACCTCTTTTCCGCTTTTTAGCATCATTCCTGGAACATTCCTTTGCTAAATCAAGTGGCGTACTGTAATCCGATGAGAAAGTGTTGAAACGCAAGAGCTGATCGCGTTCATACCGTAGAGAGAGATGCTGAGGAACTGGATGTCCACCATCTTGAATAACGTCCAACGGACTTGTAGCGGTCGCGCAGTAGAGCTGATGGAATAGGATGATTCCTGTTAACGTTACCGCTAACCCACTGCTCATCGCTTTCTTCATTATGATGAATACAACATTTGCGCACTAATCTTCACAACTTCAGAAATATAAACTCAATTTAACAACAAAACTCAAGAATAAATGACAGAGCTCTTTGAATACGTGTCGCCACGGCGCAGCGCCACCTATACACATATCACCTATGTCTCACCAGCAGTAGGGCGGGAGTGATGAAACACCACGTGATCTGGAAAACAATGGCGGCTTCCGTCCTATCATCATCTCGATGTCAGCACAAAATTTTCGTATGCCTGCATTAAAAAAAGAAAAAGAAAACCATTCACATCTTCAATATAACAACAGTTTATGGTTATTAAACATACGACTATAATAACAGAAAGCATTAATCAGCCGTGAAAATACATGGTTATTGAAGCGGAACTCATTGTTCGCTTCTGACTAATTGTTTAAACAAATGGTGAGTTTACCATAGATCCAGGCAATGACTGTGCACTCAAGGAATGCCGCCATCAGCAGGAAGATGAAGGAGAGGTACCAGTCTACCAACTGAAACATGTACATTCCTCCCTGAAACACACAGGAAGGAGATAAAGGGAAAATATACCAATAGGAAGATAAAGGAAACATGCAGGAGATACATACAGGAAGGAAGATAAAGATGATATATACAGGTAGGAAGATAAAGATGATATATACAGGTAGGAAGATAAAGGTGATATATACAGGTAGGAAGATAAAGGAGAGACATACAGATAGGAAGATATAAAGGTGATATGTACAGGTAGGAAGATATAAAGGTGGTGTATACAGGAAGATAAAGGTGATATGTACAGGTAGGAAGATATAAAGGTGATATATATATAGGTAGGAAGATATAAAGGTGATATGTACAGGTAGGAAGATATAAAGGTGGTGTATACAGGAAGATAAAGGTGATATGTACAGGTAGGAAGATATAAAGGTGATATATATATAGGTAGGAAGATATAAAGGTGATATGTACAGGTAGGAAGATATAAAGGTGGTGTATACAGGAAGATAAAGGTGATATGTACAGGTAGGAAGATATAAAGGTGATATATATATAGGTAGGAAGATATAAAGGTGATATGTACAGGTAGGAAGATAAAGGTGATATGTACAGGTAGGAAGATATAAAGGTGATATATATATATACAGGTAGGAAGATATAAAGGTGATAAAGGTGATATGTACAGGTAGGAAGATGATAAAGGTGATATATATAGGTAGGAAGATAAAGGTGATATGTAGATAAAGGTGGTACAGGTAGGAAGATATAAAGGTGATATATATATAGGTAGGAAGATATAAAGGTGATATGTATATAAAAGGTAGGAAGATAAAGGTGATATGTACAGGTAGGAAGATACAAAGGTGATATATATATAGGTAGGAAGATATAAAGGTGATATGTACAGGTAGGAAGATAAAGGTGATATATACAGGTAGGAAGATAAAGGTGATATGTACAGGTAGGAAGATAAAGGTGATATATATATAGGAAAGGTAGTGATGTATACAGGAAGATAAAAGGTGATATGTACAGGTAGGAAGATAAAAGGTGATATATACAGGAGGAGAAGATAAAAGGTGATATGTACAGGTAGGAAGATATAAAGAAGATATAAAGATATATGTACAGGTAGGAAGATATAGGGGCATTGATATATATAGGTAGGAAGATATAAAGGTGATATGTACAGGTAGGCAAGATATAAGGTGGTGTATACAGGAGAGATAAAAAAGGTGATATGTACAGGTAGGAAGATATAAAGGTGATATATATACAGGTAGGAAGATATAAAGGTGATATGTACAGGTAGGAAGATATAAGGTTGTGTATACAGGAAGATAAAAAGGTGATATGTACAGGTAGGAAGATATAAAAGGTGATATATATAAGGTAGGAAGATATAAAGGTGATAATATGTACAGGTAGGAAGATAAAAGGTGATATGTACAGGTAGGAAGATATAAAAGGTGATATATATATAGGTAGGAAGATATAAAAGGTGATATGTACAGGTAGGAAGATAAAAGGTGATATGTACAGGTAGGAAGATATAAAGGTGATATATATATATACAGGTAGGGAGATAAAAGGAAACTTGAACAGGAAATAAGATAAAAGGTGATATGTAGAGGAATTACGAAGGGATAAAGGTGATATATACATGTAGGAAGATGAAGGTGATATGTAGAGGAAAAAAAGATAAAGGTGATATATACAGGTAGGAAGATAAAGGTGATATATACAGGTAGGAAGATAAAGGTGATATGTACAGATAGAAAGATAAAGGTGATATGTACAGGTAGGAAGATAAAGGTGATATGTACAGGTAGGAAGATAAAGGTGGTATGTACAGGTAGGAAGATAAAGGTGATATGTACAGATAGAAAGATAAAGGTGGTATGTACAGGTAGGAAGATAAAGGTGATATGTAGAGGTAGGAAGATAAGGTGATATGTAGAGGTAGGAAGATAAAGGTGATATGTAGAGGTAGGAAGATGAAGGTGATATGTACAGGTAGGATATAAAGGTGATATGTACAGGTAGGAAGATAAAGGTGATATATACAGGTAGGAAGATATAAAGGTGATATATACAGGTAGGGAAGATAAAAGGTGATATATACAGGTAGGAAGATAAAGGTGATATATACAGGTAGGAAGATAAAAGGTGATATATACAGGTAGGAAGATAAAGGTGATATGTACAGGCCAGGATATATAAAGGTGATATGTACAGGTAGGAAGATAAAAGGTGATATGTACAGGTAGGAGAGATAAAGGTCATATATACAGGTAGGAAGATAAAGGTGATATATGTACAGGTAGGAAGATAAAAATTGATATGTACAGGTAGGATATATAAAAGGTGATATGTACAGGTAGGAAAGATAAGGTGATATGTACAGGTAGGAAGATAAAGTGATATGTACAAGGTATAAATGTATGTACAGGTAGGAAGATAAAAGGTGGTATGTACAGGTAGTGATAAAGAATTAATATGTAGGTATTATGTACAGGTATGCAGGCAGAGATAAAGGTGATATGTACAGGTAGGTAAAGGATATGGGTAGAAAAGGTGATATGTACAGGTAGGAAGATAAAAAGGTGATATAACCTGGTGAGGAAAATAAAGGTGGTGATATATATACAGGTGGGAAGATAAAGGTGATATATTTTTGGGTAGGAAGATAAAGGTGATATGTACAGGTAGGAGAGAAGATAAAGGTGATATATATATGTAGCACGGTTGCAGAAGATAAAGGGTGTGACTTGTACAGAAATAAGATAAAAGGGTGATATGTACAGGTGGGAGGATATAAAGGTGATATGTACAGGTAGGAGAGGAGAAAGGTGATATGTACAAGGTTGGGAGAGATAAAGGTGATATATATACAGGTAGGAAAGATAAAGGTGATATATACAGGTAGGAAGATAAAGGTGATATGTACAGGTAGGAAGATAAAGGTGATATGTACAGGTAGGATATAAAGGTGATATGTACAGGTAGGATATAAAGGTGATATGTACAGGTAGGAAGATAAAGGTGATATGTACAGGTAGGATATAAAGGTGATATGTACAGGTAGGAAGATAAAAGGTGATATATGTGATAGGTAGGAAGATATAAAGGTGATATATATATAGGTAGGAAGATATAAAGGTGATATGTACAGGTAGGAAGATATAAAGGTGGTGTATACAGGAAGATAAAGGTGATATGTACAGGTAGGAAGATATAAAGGTGATATATATATAGGTAGGAAGATATAAAGGTGATATGTACAGGTAGGAAGATAAAGGTGATATGTACAGGTAGGAAGATATAAAGGTGATATATATATAGGTAGGAAGATATAAAGGTGATATGTACAGGTAGGAAGATAAAGGTGATATGTACAGGTAGGAAGATATAAAGGTGATATATATATACAGGTAGGGAGATAAAGGAAACTTGAACAGGAAATAAGATAAAGGTGATATGTAGAGGTACGAGGATAAAGGTGATATATACATGTAGGAAGATGAAGGTGATATGTAGGGTAAAAAAGATAAAGGTGATATATACAGGTAGGAAGATAAAAGGTGATATATACAGGTAGGAAGATAAAAGGTGATATGTACAGATAGAAAGATAAAGGTGATATGTACAGGTAGGAAGATAAAGGTGATATGTACAGGTAGGAAGATAAAGGTGGTATGTACAGGTAGGAAGATAAAGGTGATATGTACAGATAGAAAGATAAAGGTGGTATGTACAGGTAGGAAGATAAAGGTGATATGTAGAGGTAGGAAGATAAGGTGATATGTAGAGGTAGGAAGATAAAGGTGATATGTAGAGGTAGGAAGATGAAGGTGATATGTACAGGTAGGATATAAAGGTGATATGTACAGGTAGGAAGATAAAGGTGATATATACAGGTAGGAAGATAAAGGTGATATGTACAGGTAGGAAGATAAAGGTGATATATACAGGTAGGAAGATAAAGGTGATATGTACAGGTAGGAAGATATAAAGGTGGTGTATACAGGAAGATAAAGGTGATATGTACAGGTAGGAAGATATAAAGGTGATATATATATAGGTAGGAAGATATAAAGGTGATATGTACAGGTAGGAAGATAAAGGTGATATGTACAGGTAGGAAGATATAAAGGTGATATATATATAGGTAGGAAGATATAAAGGTGATATGTACAGGTAGGAAGATAAAGGTGATATGTACAGGTAGGAAGATATAAAGGTGATATATATATACAGGTAGGGAGATAAAGGAAACTTGAACAGGAAATAAGATAAAGGTGATATGTAGAGGTACGAGGATAAAGGTGATATATACATGTAGGAAGATGAAGGTGATATGTAGAGGAAAAAAAGATAAAGGTGATATATACAGGTAGGAAGATAAAGGTGATATATACAGGTAGGAAGATAAAGGTGATATGTACAGATAGAAAGATAAAGGTGATATGTACAGGTAGGAAGATAAAGGTGATATGTACAGGTAGGAAGATAAAGGTGGTATGTACAGGTAGGAAGATAAAGGTGATATGTACAGATAGAAAGATAAAGGTGGTATGTACAGGTAGGAAGATAAAGGTGATATGTAGAGGTAGGAAGATAAGGTGATATGTAGAGGTAGGAAGATAAAGGTGATATGTAGAGGTAGGAAGATGAAGGTGATATGTACAGGTAGGATATAAAGGTGATATGTACAGGTAGGAAGATAAAGGTGATATATACAGGTAGGAAGATAAAAGGTGATATGTACAGGTAGGAAGATAAAGGTGATATATATATACAGGTAGGAAGATATAAAGGTGATATGTACAGGTAGGAAGATAAAGGTGATATGTACAGGTAGGAAGATAAAGGTGATATGTACAGGTAGGATATAAAGGTGATATGTACAGGTAGGAAGATAAAGGTGATATGTACAGGTAGGAAGATAAAGGTGATATATACAGGTAGGAAGATAAAGGTGATATGTACAGGTAGGAAGATAAAAGTGATATGTACAGGTAGGATATAAAGGTGATATGTACAGGTAGGAAGATAAAGGTGATATGTACAGGTAGGAAGATAAAAGTGATATGTACAGGTAGGATATAAAGGTGATATGTACAGGTAGGAAGATAAAGGTGATATGTACAGGTAAGTGATAAAGGTGATATGTACAGGTAGGATATAAAGGTGATATGTACAGGTAGGAAGATAAAGGTGATATATACAGGTAGGAAAATAAAGGTGATATATACAGGTAGGAAGATACAGGTGATATGTACAGGTAGGAAGATAAAGGTGATATATACAGGTAGGAAGATATAAAGGTGATATATGTACAGGTAGGAAGATAAAAGGTGATATGTACAGGTAGGAAGATAAAGGTGATATGTACAGGTAGGAAGATAAAAGGTGATATATGTATAGGTAGGAAGATAAAAGGTGATATATACAGGTAGGAAGATAAAGGTGATATGTACAGGTAGGAAGATAAAAGTGATATGTACAGGTAGGATATAAAGGTGATATGTACAGGTAGGAAGATAAAGGTGATATGTACAGGTAGGAAGATAAAAGTGATATGTACAGGTAGGATATAAAGGTGATATGTACAGGTAGGAAGATAAAGGTGATATGTACAGGTAAGTGATAAAGGTGATATGTACAGGTAGGATATAAAGGTGATATGTACAGGTAGGAAGATAAAGGTGATATATACAGGTAGGAAAATAAAGGTGATATATACAGGTAGGAAGATAAAGGTGATATGTACAGGTAGGAAGATAAAGGTGATATATACAGGTAGGAAGATAAAGGTGATATGTACAGGTAGGAAGATAAAGGTGATATGTACAGGTAGGAAGATAAAGGTGATATGTACAGGTAGGATATAAAGGTGATATGTACAGGTAGGAAGATAAAGGTGATATGTACAGGTAGGAAGATAAAGGTCATATATACAGGTAGGAAGATAAAGGTTATATATAGGTAGGAAGATAAAGGTGATATGTACAGGTAGGAAGATAAAGGTGATATGTACAGGTAGGATATAAAGGTGATATGTACAGGTAGGATATAAAGGTGATATGTACAGGTAGGAAGATAAAGGTGATATGTACAGGTAGGAAGATAAAGGTGATATATACAGGTAGGAAGATAAAGGAGACATGAACAGGTAGGAAGATAAAGGGAACATATATACAGGTTGGAAGATAAAGGAAACCTGTATACAGGTATTAAGATAAACGTTAAGGGGTAGGACGACAAAGGAAATAGGTAGATATGTAGAGAGACTGAGAAAACATACAGGTTGGAAAGTAGGGTGAACATTTACAAGTACAGTCTGTACGAAGATAAGGACACATGGGAGGTACGGGAAGCTGCAAATTGGTTGAAATCACAAGATGATATTTTTCACACTAGCTTCCAACTGTGTCGCTGCTTGTGTTACCTGTGTTGTAAAGATGAGTCCGGTGAGGTATGACAGACAGCAATAAGCGAGTGTGACAGCAAGGCGATGCCTCATGAAAGTTGGGTAGTGGTCCACCATAGCGGAGATACACGTCTCTACCATGGAGAACTGCAGGTACAATACATAGATTATCTCCCTTTGTGGACATCCATGATCAGTGGGTGAGTGAGTAAGTTGGGTTTAATGCCACTTCCGACAATAACCCAGTTATATGACCGCGTGCCAGCTTGATTGGGGGAAAAACAAGCGATGCTGGTCGGAGACGTTCACCATTTTGTTTATAGAACCCAAGAGCCGAGCACGGTACAGACAAACCTAGAAACATTGCCGGATTCAAACACACGATCATAGGTTCTAAACACTTCACTGCCAGGAGACTTTGTGTGCGTGCGTGCGTTCGTGCGCGTGGAGAAACTTTGTTATGTCTTATTAAATGTCCGATTTTATAGCAGATCGTGTTTAATATAACATATATGGATTCTGGCACCAGTGAGTGAGTGAGTTGGGTTTTACACAGCTTTTAGCAATATTCCAGCAATATCACGGCGGGAGACACCAGAAATTGGCTTCATGTGGGGAATCGAACCCGGGTCTTCGGCATGATGAGCGAACGCTTTAACCACTAGGCTACCCTACCGCCCCTATATATACTGACATCAGATGTACATACTATTGTATCTATGGCAACAAAGACAAGCATGGCGAAGAACAGGAAGCTCCATAGCCGGGGGACCGGAAGATGAGTGAGAACTTCTGGGTAGGTGACGTAGCCTAATCCGGGTCCTGGAGATAGATTTGGACATAAATGTTCCATGTTACGCATTAATTTGAGTGTTCTGTATATTACTCTGATTCCAACCCTTGTCACAAACCGACAAACCATCCGTCATGTCAAGTAATTCAGAATATCGGCGTGGCAGATTCCAAATCTTGTCGTGAGCATCAAATCTAACTTGCGAAAATGAACGCAATGGTCCGAATGTAGTATATAAATACCACCCTATACTGTGGAACTATGGATACTTTACGTTAATCAGCGCAATCGAGCCCACATTTAACTTTTTTAGAATCAAGTACAAAGTTTGCAGGAAAATATAACCAACGCGAACTGACAACGTTTTGAAGGAGTTTCAAGGTCAAATGACTACGCTACGTCTTGACGCTGCGACACGGAACATCGCCATTGAAAGAATCCACGCAGGAGATTACCAATCTTCTGTTGCCAGACGTCTGAATGTTAGTCTGAGCACGATATCACGATTTGCATCTCCTTACATCCAAACAGGTATAACGAATGACCGTCCCCGTACAGGCAGACCTAGAGTCGCCTGAACGTCGCAAAAAATCCAAAACGACTTTTTGTGATGTAACACGACATGCACGTGCATACTGACGGAATAAAACATCCTACGCAACACGTGACCAACATAGTAGTACTAAGAACACCAAAAATATGCCACTTTTGAGGCAAATGGAAAGAGACAATACTGTCGGAATGGCCCAGCTAGGAGCTAACCACACCGTCATTGTCAGAACCTTCAGCTGCACCCGAGCAACTGTCATCAGACTGATGCAACGACTAAGATAAACAGGCAATACGTCAGACAGGCCTTGGACAAAGCCCGGTGATGATCGCCACATCCGTACAATTCATCTGAGAAATCGTTTTATAACGGATACGTCAACGTCAGCGACGGCACTAGGACACCGTATCAGTCGGCATACAGTGTACTGGCGACTAAGAGAACATGGTATTCGAGCACGTCGATACCCGTGAAGTCCCGGGTTAGAATGTGCCTTAAGTAACCCATGCTTGTCGTAAGAGGCGACTAACGGGATCGGGTGGTCAGGCTCGCTGACTTGGTTGACACTTGTGATCAGTTCCCAATTGCGCAAATCGATGCTCATGCTGTTGATCACTGGATTGTCTGGTCCAGACTCGATTATTTACAGACCGCCGCCATATAGCTGAATTATTGCTGAGTGCGCCGTAAAACTAAACTCACCCACTCACTCATCATTCGATCAACATTTGATGGCATTTTGCAGGGAAAAAACGCCTTGCTGATTGGGTTAAAGTTCAGACTATGATGCCACGTGTCTTTCAGTGTCAGTCAAACGGTACTTTCGACTTTTCACCAACCCGTGCTTGTCGTAAGAGGCGACTAACGGAATCGGGCTGACACAAGTCATCGTATTCCAACTTCGTAGATCGATGCTCATGATGTCAATCACGGGCTTGTCTGGCCCAGACTCGATTATTAACAGACCGCCGTCATAATATTGCTGAGTGCGGCGTTAGGCGATAAGCAAAAACAAACACAACATATTTGTGTACCTGATGAGACAACCTCTAACACCGGAACCCCCGTCTCCTTGGACATGAACCCCAGGATGGAGAAGACCACTAGACCGCCAAACATGCTGGTCCCTTCGCTTACGAATGTCGCAATTATTGCGTCTCTGAAATCAGAATTATTCGTGATAAACCATACAAACAATGGACAGTATTCGTACACTTTACTTTAGTGACAGTGCTTTTCCATTCGTAGATCGATGCTCATGCTGTTGATCACTGGATTGTCTGGTCCAGACTGGATTATTTACAGACCGCCACCATGTAGCTGGAATACTGCTGAGTGCGGCGTTAAACAACCAACCAACCAACCAACCAAGTCATTCCATTCTGTTGAATATGAAGCTACATTGTGAGTGAGTGAGTAAGTCAAGGCACATCAGCATTGCTTCCATCTTCGTACGAGTAAAATGTGAGTTCCTCCCTGGCATGTTAGTGGTTACAATCTACTGTTGTTTGTGTTGTCGGAACCCGCTTGTTCAAGGGACGCACGTCCTCGTTTCCAGGACAGACAATACATTTTATTGAGCTACTTACGTCCCGTGGAACGACCAATTTTATATATCCCTTTAATATGATGCCAATGGTAGTCTACCTGTCACCATCATTCTTTATTATATACACTTATAAGGCCATAGGCCTCCAGTACATCATCTGAAATGTGTTACGAATACATTACCTGGTGACGGTCTAATTATAACCGTATTATGTAATATGTATTTTAACAATCACATGTCATTAATGAACGATACTTGTAACCATTTGAATTGTTATAGAAATATTCCTTAATATATTTTCTTTATAATATTAATATTACATTGTATTTAACCCGAGAAGATCCTGGTTAGAATTGTTCTTCACAGATACCCATCTGTTTCGGAAGAGGCGAATTACGGGATTGAATGATCAGCCTCGCTGACTTGGTTGACACAGGTCATCGTATTTCAATAGCGTAGATCGATGCTCATGATGTTGATCACTAGATTGTCCTGTCCAGACCTCCGCCATATAGCTGGAAATTTGCTGACTTCGGCCACCCGATTCCGTTCATTCGTGACCAACTCGTGTTATTCCGGGACAAGGTTGGAGGTTACGGAAAGGGGCGAGTGGTGAAGAATGGATTCCGTTAGGTGCATCTTCTCTATGGGTTGTTGAAGATCAATTCTAAACCGGATCTTCGAAGGTCACGTTAAATTGGACTTTGGTCATGAGAGTGAATGTCATTGGTAGATGCAACACAAACAAACTAAAAGTTGCAGAGAGCATACATTCTTCTGTGTTTACCAAAAGGGAGCCCTACAACTGAACGTTGTTACCTCAGGCAGTTGTTGTGGAAGTCGTTGTAGCTGGCCATGGTGATGAGGCCGCCCCAAGCAGGACCGAGGGAATAGAACACCTGTAAACACGCCTCCAGCCACACCTGAAACCATTAGTTTCAATCATCGAGGCATTGTGTTGTACACCGCCAAAGCTACTATCTCGATATTTTATTTAAATTCAGACCCTTTATAATCCTGATCACTGCTTCAGACAGAAATGAATATTCTTTTATCGATCCACGGATAACTCGAAATATATGCAGGTCTTAATTATCATTAATGTTCAAAAGAAATTAAAGACCACTGTATTGATTGACATTACCATAGTCTATCTGTCTTTTATAAGAATCGGGTATTCCTTCACTTGTCTGAGTAGTATATGTTTTCAGAACGTTTTATTGAACGTTAATGGCGGCGGGGTAGCCACATGGTTAGAACGTTCGCTCGTCATGTTGAATGGCACACACACCGTAGTATGTGTGAAGCCCATGAATTGTATTGCTTGCGATATTGCTAGAATATTGTTGAAAGCTACATAAAATCTCAACTCACTTACTCGCTGATATTAGTGAGTGTTGGCAGTGTATGAAATGAGCCAAAAACCAGCCAGACATCAGGGCTGGAAACTTAAAAATGTTACCAGCCCAAAATGGATTTAACCAGACCAAATATGGTGAATTAATTCAGATGTATGGAACATCTAAAAAATTTACCAGACCATAGGGCTAGCTGGCTGTAAATTTAGACCGTCCGTCAGAAATGTAGACCGACTCGGGCGGTCGGACGGCCTTATTTCATGCACTGGTGTTGGTGTATGATTTTATGCCGCTTTCAGCATTCTTCCAGTACACGACGGAATGACACCAGAAATGGGCTTCACACATTGTATCCATGCTTGGAATCGAACCCGGGTCCTCGGCGTGACGATTGAACGCTTTAACCATTAGGCTAACCTACCGCCACTTGTCAAGGAATAACACGGCGTAGTGACACCAGAAATGGGTTTCACATACTGCGGGCAGCTGAAGCCTGCACTGGATATAAAGTTTTCTAAGTTTTCTGAAATTAGGCAAAACTTGTTTTTGTATCTTTAGAGCTTTTCCTGATTTCTAGAAGGATTGTGTAGTGTACCTGTATATCCGTGAGCCGCGAAAAGTCCGGCGTGAGGTAGACGAGAACTCCCTCTTTGCCCCCGGGAAGCATGAGGCCCTGGACCAGTAGCGTCACCAGCAGTATGTAGGGTATCGTCGCCGTCACATACACCACCTGTACAGGTAATAAGGGTAACTAATTTGATTGTAGACGTCACGTACACCACCTGTAAACGTGACACTCACAATTACTGTGACCGTCACTATCACGTACACCACATACAAAAGTGACACTGATAATTGCTGTGGTTGTCATCGCCACGTACACCACCTGTACAGGTAATAACTAATTTGATTGTAGACGTCACGTCCTGTACCTGTGAGTGAATATAGTTTTATGCAAGACTCAGCAATATTCCAGCTAAATGTCGGCGGTCTGTAAATAATCGAGTCTGGACCAGACAATCCAGTGATCAACAGCATGAGCATCGGTCTGCACAATTGGGAACCGATGATAGGGGCGGATACAGCTTTTTGAGAAAGGGGGTGCACACTATTGAGAAAAGGGAGGGTGCACACTTCATTTCCACCCGAGTTTCAATGGTCATTTAATAAACTTTCAGGACAATAGGGGGGAGTGCGCACCCCTGCAAACACCCCCACCCCCTAGGATCCGCCTATGGATGACAAGTGTCAACCAAGTCAGCGAGCCTGACCACCCGATCACGTTAGTCGCCTCTTACGACAAGCATGGGTTACTGAAGATCGATTCTAACCCGGATCTTCACGGGTTAGACTTTTCACGATGTTTATTTAAGGTTACATTTGGCCTATGCATTTGTTGCATTCAAATATTCATATTGGCCTTCCACACATGGTAAATATTCGTCTCTTTCACATTGTGTATCGGTATCACAACAGAGTTTAAAGGATGTCACATTTGAAGAAATGTCACATTAAAATAATAAGGGAATTATAATCGTTTCGTGACCTTTCCGACGGAATGAATTCCCTTGATGACAGAGAGGAAGATGATGGACCATGCCGCCAGAAGACACAGGGCCAGATGCCACTGGATGTGGCCGACCTCCTCAAGGCCACGGGAAATACCCAGGGTGTTGTATCTGTAGGAAGGATGTAAGTGAGTCAGTAAGTAACACATTGTAAATGTATCAGATGGTGCATGTGCATGACAATCATTCTCAATAGAAGTGCACAATTACTACAAATTCACGTCGTCTCCATATACAATACATGTTCCAGTAAATGCTTGATTAAAGCGTTACAATATATGATTGATTTATTTTAAAATTGAAGTGGCAACATAATAATTAACTTTACTGTCACACTTTGCAGTCCATATTTGTGAGAAATGCCCCAGCTAAGAGAGAACTTGTCAAAATAGGAGTGCCCCCTACAGGAGATAGTATATCGACGGCGTTAGTGAGATGACATGCTGAGTTGTGGAATCGGAAACAAGTGTGAAATGACAGGGCAAGATCTATTTAGACAACTTTTAGGAAGTCATACTGTTAAGCATTTTCTTAAATTTCACTAAAAAATGAAATGTTCTATGTTTCATGTATTTTACGTTATGGACTAAAATTAAGCTGAAATTCAATTCTAACTGGCAGTGAACATCTGTATTATCGCGTAGTTAGTTTATTTAATTGTGGAATAAAAGAAAACCAAAACGTTTCATATCATATGGTGCCTTTAACAACTTTCTATATTTAGATATAACCTTATGGTTAAGGGTGTATTTTACGTTATGCCCTTTCTCGCAAAATGGAGAAAATAAACATGCGTCAAATCATACTATGGGTTGGTTAGGTGCTAATGATGCCAGCAAATGGAGAAATCTGCAAAATCATGCCAAGTATATCAGTTGGCTGCCAACGAACATCGTCATTGTATTTTACGTTATGTATATTACGTTATGTATATTACGTTATGTGTATTACGTTATGTGTATTACGTTATGTATATTACGTTATGTATATTACGTTATGTATATTACGTTATATATAAATTGTCGGCTATATACATTAAATCCAGAGGGATAAATTGTCAAAAAAGGTTGCAACATGCACAGGTGGGTTAGCGCACTCGACAATACGATAGTATGTCAAGTGATGAACGATGGTATAACGTAATACACACCAACCCCTTTTGTCTCGCAAGTTTATTAAATGACCATTGAAACTCGGGTGCAAATGAAGTGTGCTCCCCCTTCTCCTCAATAGTGTGCACCCTTCCTTTCTCAAAAAGCTGTATCCGCCCCTGTAATATGAATCTGTAAATATGAGGAAATCTTTAATGCTGTGTAAACGTTATATTCGGAATTTGCCCTAACCGACAATGAGTGTTATCGGTTTGAGGTTACTTAGGTGTAGTTTATGCTAAAAGACGAACATAAATGTTTTTCCACGAACATAAATGTTTTTCATAACGTAAAATTCAATAGTCATAACGTAATATGCAGTCAAACCTACATCAACCCTCATTATAGATATACTCTCCCCAAAAAGAAACGCATCATGAAAAAAAGCAATTTCATGTAGCAGTGAATTAAAACGTGATTCATTTCACAAAAGGTTTTGTTCTGTTTATGAGTCCTATGGTGTTTATGTTTTGAAACAACTCAACAAAACGCACCATCCGTAAAATACCCGTATTTAACAGCATGATTTTCAATTTCGGCGTGTAGTGTCACAGAATACACAATTCACATGCAATGCACGTGAAAGTTTGGGATCAGATAGTCTCAATGATGGGTATAAAAGGTTGATCGCTGTCTGTCGATTTTAACTGTATTTGGAATATTGTTGACGAACGCAAAATGCCACGTCTAAGTGAAGCCAACTGTCATATCACCATTGGTTTGCTTGAAGCTGGCCAGTCTCAATGTGCAGTTGCCCGACGCATGAATGTTCACCAAAGCACCATTTCACGGCTCTGGGAGAGATATCGCCGGCAGAATGCGGTAGCAGATGCCCCTCGTAGTGGGCGACCTCGAGCGACCACTGCGGCGCAGGATCGCTACATCCGGGTACATCACCTGCGTCATCGAACAGCTACGGCGACCAGTACCGCTCGACAAATACCCGGATTGAGGAGGCTTTCTGCACAGACCGTCAGGAACAGGTTGAGAGAGGCTGGTTTACGTGCCAGAAGACCTTATTTTGGCCCTGTGCTTCGACAACAACATCGTCGACATTGAGTTCAATGGTGCACCAACGTTCAGGCCTGGAACCTACCGAATTGGCGTAGAATCTGGTTCAGTGATGAATCACGATTTCTATTGGAACGACGCGATGGAAGAATGCGGGTGTACAGACGTCGACGTGAACGTTTCGCCATCGATTGCGTTCCCCAGGTGGACAGATTCGGCCGGGGAAGTGTTATGATGTGGGGGACAATCACCTGCCGTAGGAGAAGTGGTTTGGTGATGATCCAGGGCAACCTGACAGCTCAACGGTACTGTGACGAAATCCTACGCCCACACCTCCTTCCAATCATTGATCGCCAGAGGGAGTTGTTTCAACAGGACAATGCCAGGCCCCACACAGCACGTCACACTAGAGACTTCCTCCAGAACCACAACATCAATGTGCTCCCCTGGCCCTCAAAATCACCGGACTTAAACCCGATCGAACATCTGTGGGATGCCCTGGACAGACGGGTGCGTTGCCGTAACCCTCAACCCCAGACACTTCAGCAACTCGCACAGGCACTACAGGCAGAGTGGGCTGAGAGATTCTGAGACCTATTTGTTCGATGCCGAGGCGATGCCGTGCAGTTCTGGATGCCCACGGTGGTCACACGAGGTATTGACTTCAGCGCCACCACACGTCTCCATGTGACACTCAAACTGACTTTCCTCGAGTTGGTGCCAAAGACGGATAAGTCTGCATTCCCAGTGTGCAATTTCGCTATATTTCATTGACTCATAAAGCCTACAAGATGTTTCAAAATAAACATAAAAATACAGTTGAAATTCCTATATGCGTTTCTTTTTTGGGAGAGTATAAAAAAAATTCATAAATTACAATTTTGGGAAAACGATAATAAACCATTAGGTTTGAATTGGATGTTAAAAATTCATAAACGTAGTTAAAATATACGTGACCTTTGCACCATGGAACTTACAACCTCTTATTCCAACTTTCGATTTTTTTTTAAAATACCTATATGCAATTGTTCACTTACATTGAGAATGAGTGATGATATTCAGAAGTTAATTACAATATATTTCGAAAATTTTAAATGAAATGGACCTATGTATGGAGAAAGTAGGTGAGGCAGAGCGTAACACATTGTAAATGTAACAGATGGTGCAAAGTAAACATGTACATAATATTCAGCAGTTAATTACTATATATTTCAAAAATGTTAAGTGATTATTTCATTTGCAAACTAAACACCATTAATATTTGTCAGCACTGTTTATCCAACTGTTAACATACTTTTGAAATGCATATAAAATATATTTGCAATGCAAACATTATGTAGAAAATACGTGAAAATATATATCAACATTTGTACTTCTACCGGACACTTATGACGTATGACAATAAATTGACGTACAAAGAAAGTACACATCTGTTGTTTGGGGTTATTCTCTATAATATCCAACATAGATATTTTGAAAAGCGTTTTGATTGTGACTTACAAGCCACAAACATCGTTCGCGTTGCCAAAATACCACAGAGTAATTAACGTTGTTGTGGGGAAATATTTGACGTGTACTTTCTTTTGTAGGTCAGTTTATTTATATATTTTTCATTTAAGTTTGTACGTTATATGTGATGCGATATTATGTAGCAGGCACGCATAATAGAAAAAGATATGTGTCATTTTGAAAGCAGAAGTTAGGATCGTGAATATTTTGGGGAATATTTTTGTCGAGCGAAGACAGAACACACAATATCAAATATTAGAACAAACAACAAATATTAGAACACCTTCAGCTGCATATCTAAGACATGTATATATAATGAGTTCTTATTGATTAAAACATATTTCTGAATGAAACTACTGGCATAACGGCGTACTGAGTTATTTGGTTATAAATTGTGTTTTCAGATTTCATAAGGTTCGCTTGTATTTATGGGCTGTATTTATACTGGTGTGTTTGTAATTATCCCAGTGTCAATACAGAACCCTTAAATGATCTTACAAAACCGGGGCGGTGGGGTAGCCTAGTGGTTCAAGCGTTCGCTCGTCACGCCGAAGACCCGGGTTCGATTCCCCACATGGGTACAATGTGTGAAGCCCATTTCTGGTGTCCCCGCCGTGATATTGCTGGAATATTGCTAAAAACGGCGTAAAACTACACTCACTCTCACAAAGCGGAAAACATCTGAGACTTGTATCCCTCTGTCCTCTCTCATCCGGGGCGGTGGGGTAGCCTAGTGGGTAAAGTGTTCGCTCGTCACACCCTAGACACGGGTTCGATTTCCCTTCGAAACCTGTTTCTGGTTTTCACCTCCGTGATATTGCTGGAATATTGCAAAAAGCGGCGTAAAACTAAACTGACTCACTTCTCCGCGATGTAACGGAAATACTGAAATCAACCCCTCTTTTACCGATCATATCCTAATAAACGATGTAATGAGTGAGTGAGTAAGTGAGTTTGGTTTTACGCCGATTTTAGCATTATCCCAGCAATATCACGGCGGGGGACACCAGAAATGGGCTTCACACATTGTACCCATGTGGGAAATCGAACCCGGGTCTTCTGCGTGACGAGCGAACGCTTTAACCACTAAAGCTACCCCACCGCCCCTAAACGATGTAATGCTATTATATACTTACGTATTCGAACATTATAAGTTATAAACACACTACTGGATCATTCACGAGTATCTTACTGCCAAAATTCTTCAGCTGCTGTGTGAGAGAGCGTTGTATTCGACCAGAGGGTAGCACCATTGACGTCAGCATCTGCATTATCAATGTAGGAACACAACGTCGCAACGTCTACATCGGTGACATTGGCCTCGTTATCTGGACACGTAGTGTTGGAAAATGGGAAAACAGTATGGTTCTGTAGAACTCTCATGCTGGTTACACACAGGTCGGTGTTCCACCGGTTGCCGCATGTTGACCACGGTAGGGTGGGCGAGCAGGACCTCACCAGGTAATAGATGGACCAGGCCAGGACCGTGGTGAAATAGGCACATGTTAGGCCAGAGAGAAGAACCATTCCAATTCCAAGACCTTTTAAAACAGAATTAACATACAATAAGAGAAAAGCCCAAATAGAAGTTCTCTCAGCTGTCATACAGAGATTCAGTATACTGTAAATGTTTATGACGAGTGAGTGAGTGAGTTTAGTTTTACGCCGCTTTTAGCAATATTCCAGCAATATCACGGCGGGGGACACCAGGAATGGGCTTAACACATTGCACCCATGTGGGGATTCGAACCCGGGTGTTCGGCGTGACGAGCCAACGCTTTAACCACTGGGCTACCCCACCGCCCCTGTTTATGACGAACACGCTTATGACGAACTAACGGATATAACGAACCGTTTCCGTTTGTTTTGGGAGGGTGAGGGAAAGGGGCAGGTGGTCCCAAGGGTCCCAGGGGCCTGTTTATTTAAGCCGAAATACGTATAACAAACTATGGTCATTAAGAACTGAAACTGTTGGCCCCTACAGTTCCTTATGACAGTACTTAACTGTATTTTCAAAAAAAACGATTTGCGTGCGCGCGCGTGTGCGTGTGTGTTGTTGTTGTTTAACGCCGCACTGAGCACTATTCCAGATAACTAACGACTGTCCGTAAATGACGTCATCAGCATCGATCTACGCTCTTGAGATATGTAGAATTCAAGCCAGTGAGCCTAATCCTATTTCCAAATGGTCGAATCTTATTACAAGCCTGGACTGCTGAATATCGAATTACCTTAAGTTCTCATTTTAAGTGGGCGGTGGGTTAGCCTAGTGGTTAAAGGGTTCACTCATCACACCGAAGACCGAGTTCGATTTCCAATGTGAGAAGCCCATTCCCTTATCTCTGGAATATTGCTAAAAGCGGCATAAAATTAAAGTCACTCACTCTGATTCTAAGTTTATGAGGATTTCCCCACGAAGATATTTAGAGTAGAGACAAGAGAACCGTTATAAGTAACGCCGTTCACTTTCTATAGTCCAATGCATTTAAGAGAAGTGAGGTTAAAGACATAATTTTAACTGAGGGATTTGGTTTTTTTAGAAAACAGAAGTTAAGTGTGGAAACGTCTTAATAAGGGTGAGTGAGTGACTAAATGCGTATTGATGTACTGCGCTTTAAGCTTCATTCCGAATAATCCAGGCTTTGCACATTACCTTCAGCGTGACGACTAAGCTACCCCATCGCCCTCTTGTACAGTCGCCGTTGTACAACAAAGTTATTTTGTACAACAGCACCCTGGGCCCCGTTTCACAAAGCTCTCGTAGCGCTACGACTGTCGTAAGTCTATACTACAGGGCCTAGATTTTCGAAGCTCTCTTAGCGATAAGATGGTCGTAAGTGCCATACATTAACATTAACTGACGACTATCTTAGCGCTAAGAGAGCTTCGAAAATCTAGGTCCTGGGCCTCAATTTTCGAAGTTCTCTTAGCGCTAAGATGGTCGTAAGTGCCATACATTAACACTAACTTACGACTATCGTAGCGCTAAGAGAGCTTCGAAAAACTAGACCCTGGGCCTCAATTTTCGAAGTTCTCTTAGCGCTAAGATGGTCGTAAGTGCCATACATTAACATTAACTTACGACTATCTTAGCGCTAAGAGAGCTTCGAAAATCTAGGCCCAGCAGTATAGGAGGTACGACTGCAGGGCCTAGATTTCGAAGCTCTCTTAGCGCTAAGATAGTCGTAAGTTAATGTTAATGTATGGCACTAACGACTGTCTTAGCCCTAAGAGAGCTTCGAAAATCTAGGCCCTGGGCTTCAATGGTTAAGATGACTCACCTTTCATAAGGGGACACAATGCCCAGATGTGCAGAGCGCTCTTCCCCGAGAACTGGCCCAGACACACCTCCAGGAAGAAGAGAGGTAGGCCACAAAGTACCAGGAAAATAACGAAGGGGATCAGAAAGGCTCCTGCAAGTACATCGTACCAAATATAAAACGTGAACGTGTGTGGATAACTAGTCTCGGTAATCCACCGAATTATACCCCAGGAGCTGTGAAAGGTAAAATAGTGGTGAAACGTATGTGAGAGTATCCCTGAAAGTCAGTGATGGAGCCAGGTGTTTGTGAAAAGTGAGTGAGTGAGTTTAGTTTTACGCCGCTTGTAGCAATATTCCAGCAATATCACTGCAGGGGCCACCAGAAATGGGCTTCGCACTTTGTACTCATGTGGGGAATAGAACCCGGGTCTTCGGCGTGACGAGCGAACGCTTTAACCACTAGGCTACCCCACCGCTCCCTTCGTGAAAAGGGTAGGGAAGACCGGGGTCAATTGTAACACGTTTTACTTAACTTCTTGTAGTTCGATCCCAGACGACCGCTCACAAAGTTAATCGGTACTAACTAGTACATTGGCTTCTTGGCTTTAAACCTCAGTGTCGTTTCAAGTTCACTATCATGTGTTTACAAAGTTATTACGTATCAAATGCAATGACTACAAGTGTTACAATTGACCCCTAGCACGGGGCAATTGTAACAGGTGGATGGGGCAATTGTAACAAAGAAGGTTCAAATGTAACAATTTGTTTATTTTCCAAATAAAATCAAAATAAAATGTGGAAAGATGTTATCTTGATCAGTTGAGGTGGAAATGGATTAACAATAAACCTTTATCACCACCGACATTTAAAATGTTTTTCGTTTAAAATTCATGTATTGGTATGCCCAAAAAATAATACAAAGACTTACATCAAAAACTTTCACCCGAGGCTAAAACTATCAACATAACACTGAAAATGTTCTACTATGATAAACCTAGTAAAGAACTAACATAAAACCTTCATCATAATTTGCTTTATTATCATAACACAAGGGAAAATTACATGGGGGCAACTGTAACACAGTGTTACAATTGCCCCTGATGTCAGTAGCCATATTTCATGCTACCTTGGGCTAACAACCTGGGCTTCTCAAATATTTCTACTTCCAAATATGTCGTAATATCTAAATGTTACACTTGAAAAGTTAATTTCATACCAAACACCATTTACTGCATTAAGAACGGTTTAATACGTTTTGTGAAAAATTTACTTACCTATGTGAAAAATGATTTTTCGTCAACTGTATCTCGCTATAAGCGAGCAGATGAAAAACGCCTGGATGAGTACCGCAGGAAAGTAAAGGGAAATAACTCTACTATCTACACTATGCTTGAGCGAAAACTTTTAGAGTAATCGCCCTTGTTACAATTGACCCCGGTCTCCTCTACGTATGCCGTGCCACATCCATAACAACTCAGCAGTGTAAAGAAAAGCGCCTAAACCATTTCCACAAAGGACAAACTATTTGGTAGAGATGGCAGATACCTGTCGCTATATCGTGAGTGGGTTAATATTTCCCAAAATTACCTGCAGATTTGTGTTATGATCAACACGATCATTGTTGAAGACCAATTCTAACCCGGATTTTCACGGGTCTCCTATCAGTGAGAAACTGATTGTCCGATGCAATTTTGTATATTGACTTGTACCGTATGTTCTCATATTTTTTAGTTGAACAACTGACTTGTATTTACTTAATCATGACGGGTGCCACCTTGGTGAACATCTGGTATTATTCGAAATAAAACGTCAGTGCCAAAAATACCAAGTCAAGTCCAATCTAGTATCTAGGGCAAAGTAGCTGCGAAACATTACAGTTATAGACGATGACGCCAGGTTTTAGCAAAGAGAGTAAGCATTAACCCATAGCATCCGCCATTCACACAACTTGCAGTGAAAACGAAGTAATCCTACCGTGCTAAAGTAGCCTGTTAACAAACCATACAAACAGGTGATCTGTTATTGAGTGAGTGAGTATGGTTTTACGCAGCTATGATCGCGGCGCGGGACACCAAAACTTGCTTCACCCATTGTACCCATGTGGGCGTTACGAGCGGAAGCTATAACCACTGGGATACCCCACCGCCCCTCTGTTATTGAAAATAGTTGGGGATCTGGAACGGGGTTAGTCTCTTTTATTCGATGGTATGTTATGATAACAGATATCCCATGCTTCAGTGATTGAAACTGGTCGGCATGGCAGCAGGGAGGGAATCCCTGGGAGAGAAGATCGTGTACACGTGAATGAGTTTAGTTTTACGCCGCACTCTGCAATATTCCACCTATATGGCGGCGGTCTGTACATAATCGAGTCTAGACAAGACAATCCAGTAATCAACAGCATGAGCATTGATCTCCGCAACTGGGAACCGATGACATGTGTAATATGACAGGGCAGCGATATCGGGATGAGGTTCTCCAGCCAGACGTTTTACCGTTCATACGGCAACAGAACAATGTTGATGTGCTTCCCTGGCCAGCTAAATCACCGGACATGTCGCCTATTGAGCACGTTTGGGATGAAATGGAAAGACGCTTGCGACGCTCACCAAATCCGCCTGTAACGCTGTAGTAACTGCAACAACGTCTTCGTGAGATCTGGGACAAAATCCCACAACGATGTCATAGACGACTGATTAATTCCATGCGACGGAGATGTGTTGCCTGTATCAACTCTGCTGCTGGTCATACCCGGTATTATAGTGGGAGTTTTCATTTTACCCCCTAAGCATTCAGATTGGTGTTTTGCCCTATGAAATTGTCACTAATCCGAAATTAAGGTTGTCATTAGCAGGTGAAATGTGTGTTCTATGAAATAAAAGTGTTTACTGTGTTTGTATTAACTTCGTATTAACTGTGTTTTTCTACACCATTTTTAATAGCGTCACAAGAACTTTTGTTGCTGAATATACCGTACTTGGTTTAAAACAAAACAAAAAAATAATTTTCCTTGGATTAGAAGCCTGAATAATATATCACACAAGGTTTTGGGTTTCTCAAGCCTATCATTTTCAGTCACTGTAATGAAATTTACTAGTAATAAGGTTTGGAATTAACTGTCATAATAAATAAAATGGACCGATTTTTCAGTCAGTTTGTAAAATTGCAAAACTGTTTATATGTTTTGTAAATTGCCTAAGGGACATATTCAGTCTTTTACACAAATAGTGTGTAAAAACACCATGGTGAAGGACTATTGGTTTTACAGAAGAGTCCAGATTTCCCGAAGCTTGTGTCATGGACGGACTAGTTTGGGGGACAATTCCCCTTCTGATTGGAATAGATTCCGAAGTCTGCACCTGCCCTTGCGAGTACATCTCAAGTTGAGTCGACCAGCAACTCATTAAAGACTTGAGTAAATCAAGTCAATACAATGAAAAGACTCATTCATGAGGAACACAGCCGTATGTTTTTTATAGTCAATCCAGCACATGCAGTGGTTGCCACAATGCCACTATGTAACCTAGTCCATGAATTTGTCTTTATTAAATGTAACAGAAACTGTGTCCGTAAATATACCTTTTCTGTATCACATGTAACCCTGGTGTACTAAAAAGTGAAAGAAAAGTCAGCGAGCCTGACCACCCGATCGCGATAGTCGACTCTTACGGTAAACGTGGGTTACTGAAGATGAATTCTGACCCTGATTTCACTGGTCTCCAAGTTTAATGTTTCAGTGAGAAACGTATTGTCAGGTGCAATTCTGTATTTAGACTTGTTCCGTATGTTCTCATATCATTTAGTTGGACAACTGACTTGCATGTACGTAATTATGTCAGGTGCCACTGGCATGGTGGAGAGGGATCCGCCCACCTTTTGGTGAATAATCTTTACAAGTCGAGATGAACGTCAGTGCCAAAAATGCCCAGTCAGATGTCAAGTTCCATTTACTGTCAAGGGCAAATGTAAGTGCGAAACATTACAGTAATAGACGATGACGCCAGGTTTTAGCAAAGAGAGTAAGCATTGTGTCCTGCCCTAACCCATAGCATCCTCCACTCACACAACTTGCAATGAAAACGAAGTAATCCTGCCGTTCTACGGTAGCCTGTAAACAAGCCAGACAATCAAGCAATAGATGGAGGTAACAGAGTCCGATCTGGTATTGAGAATTATTGAGAATCTGGAAAGGCGTTAGTCGCCTTTTATAATTGCATTATAACAGATACAGCGCCGGACGCAGAAGGGTGTGTGCGGGTGGTGGTGTGGTCTGGTGTGGTGTGGTGTGGTGTGCGTGTGTGTGTGTGTGGTGCCACTCACCCTCACACCTCTTAGCAGAAATATTCTCTGGGAGAGAAGATTGTGTACAAAATGTGATGGTGATGATGATGATGATAATAATAATGATGATGGTGATGATAATAATGATAATGATAGTGATGATAATAATAATGATCATGATGATGATAATAATAATAATGATGATGGTGATGATAATAATAATGATGATGGTGGTGAAGATAATAATGATAATGGTAGTGATGATAATGATGATGATAATAATGATGATGATGATGGTGATGGTAATAATTAAGATGGTGGTGATGATAATGATGATGGTGATGATAATGATGATGACGATAACAATAATGATGATGGTGATAATAATAATAATGATGATGATGGTGATAATAATAATGATCATGATGATCATATGATGATCATGGCGAACCAATTCTTTTGCTGTGCCAGTCCTTTCCTATTCCTTTGGAGTAGTTGATTGGACAAAACAAGACATCCAGAGTCTTGACCGTCTGACCAGAAGGGTCATGTCTGATAACAGAGCCCACCACCCTCGTTCCTCTCTTAACCGTTTATATATGCCAATCAATTCTGGAGGTCGGGGTTTGATTAATGTGGAGGCTCTTCATGATAGAATTTTATTGTGTACTTTTGCACATATTTATCTATCGGATGATCCTCTGGTGATGCATGTGAAAACTCATGATGAAAGCAAGGAATTCCACAGCTATTTTAAGCGTGCCAAGGTTGTTGGACAGAATCTGAAATTTGAGGTTGATTTTGTTGATGGCGATGTACTGCTGGACGGTACAGTGATGGGAGTAAACCAGGTGAAGTCCTTCACCAAGTCCGCCCAGAGTCGGTCTTTTGTGGAGAAGCTTTCTGAGAAGCCATTGCATCGTTTGTACATGCAGTGTGTTGAACAGAACAGCAATCCCACCGACTCCTTCGCCTGGATGAAGTCGGCTGGTCTTAAATGTGAAACTGAGGGCTTCCTTTTTGCTGCTCAGAACCAGTCACTTCCCACTCGCAATCGCCTAAATGTGATTCTTAAAGAAAATATCAATATGAAATGTCGACTTTGCAATGAATTCACGGAGACTGTCCAACACCTTGTCAGTGGATGCCCTTCCTTGGCACAAACATCATATCTTAAACGACATGATGGCATGGCTCGTTGCTTTTAATACCGTCTCCGACATGCCTGTGGCTTTGACTCCGAGGTCCATCCATGGTACGACCCTGAACATGTCCAGGGCGTCATTGAAAATGATGCTTTCAAACTTCTGTGGAATAGGCCCATATACAGCCTCAGAAGAATTCCAGCCAACAAACCTGATCTTGTCCTTTTTGATAAAGCCAATGAATTTATTCATATCATAGAATTTTCTGTCCCTTTTGACACCAATGTGATTGGCAAGATTAAGGAAAAGCATGATAAATATGCAGACCTCGCCTTTGAAATGTCTCGCTTGCATACCAAGTACACTGTCGTCACGCTCCCCATTGTTCTCGGTGCCCTTGGTTTGGTACCTCCTGATCTCTTGGCGCAGATCAGGAGAGTGCCCGGGTTCTCCACCGGGAGTACAGCCCTTCTGACGCTCTGGGTAATGCAGAAGGCTGCAGTGTTGGGGAGCCTTCATATTCTCCGGAAAGTTCTTGGTGGGCTCGACTAGGCAGCGTTTCCTGGGAGAAGTCCCATTCGCTGTCTTGGCTGCGTGTAGAGGGGGCAAGGGCCCTGAGCTGATGATGAGCCTTACCAGCCTGACTGTGCCAGGATCACCCGAACCCTCTCTGCTGCATACTATCTTTAATCTGTAAAATAATAATAATGATGATCATGGCGATAATAATAATGATGATGGTGGTGATGATAATGATGATGGTGATGAAAATGATGATGACGATAACAATAATGATGATACTGGTGATAATAATAATGATGATGGTGATAATAATAATGATGATGATGATGATGATGATGGTGGTGGTGATAATAATAATAATGATGATGGTGAAAATAATAATGATGATACTGGTGATAATAATGATGATGATGGTGAAAATAATAATGATGATGATGATGATGATGATGGTGGTGATAATAATAATAATGATGATGGTGAAAATAATAATGATGATGGTGAAAATAATAATGATGATGATGATGATGATGATGGTGGTGATAATAATAATAATGATGATGGTGAAAATAATAATGATGATGATGATGATGATGATGGTGGTGATAATAATAATGATGATGGTGAAAATAATAATGATGATGATGATGATGATGATGGTGGTGATAATAATAATGATGATGATGGTGAAAATAATAATGATGATGGTGAAAATAATAATGATGATGATGATGATGATGATGGTGGTGATAATAATAATAATGATGATGGTGAAAATAATAATGATGATGGTGAAAATAATAATGATGATGATGGTGAAAATAATAATGATGATGGTGATGATGATGATGGTGGTGATAATAATAATGATGATGATGGTGAAAATAATAATGATGATGGTGAAAATAATAATGATGATGATGATGATGATGATGGTGGTGACAATAATAATGATGATGATGGTGATAATAATAGTAATGATGATGGTAACGTTAATGATGATGGTGATGATAATAATGATGACGATGGTGATGATAATAATGATGATGATGATGGTGGTGATAATAATAATAATGATGATGGTGAAAATAATAATGATGATGATGATGATGATGATGGTGGTGATAATAATAATGATGATGGTGAAAATAATAATGATGATGATGATGATGATGATGGTGGTGATAATAATAATGATGATGATGGTGAAAATAATAATGATGATGGTGAAAATAATAATGATGATGATGATGATGATGATGGTGGTGATAATAATAATAATGATGATGGTGAAAATAATAATGATGATGATGATGATGATGATGGTGATGATAATAATGATGACGATGGTGATGATAATAATGATGATGATGCTGATGATACTGATGATGATGATAAGAATAATGATGATGGTGATGATAATAGTAATGATGATGGTAACGTTAATGATGATGGTGATGATAATAATGATGACGATGGTGATGATAATAATAAAGATGATGATGGTGATGAGTGAGGGACTGAGTTCACTGCAATATTCCAGCAATATCACGGCAGGGGACACCAGAAATGGGCTTCACACATTGTACCCATGTAGGGATTCGAACCCGG